TCTTTTGTCTCCAAGCGAAACTTTTGTGACATTCAGGCAAGTTATGCAGCATTTCATAAATAAACGACAACAAAACTGAGCCCTTGTGAGAAAGGAAATGACTTTATATTAATTGGGGAAGAAGTAGGGAAGTCGTGGCCTAATGGTTAGAGAGTCGGACTCGTAACCCAAAAGGTTGTGGGTTCGAGTCTCGTACCGGCAGGAATTGTAGATGGGGGGAGTGAATGTACAGCGCTCTCTCCCACCTTCAATACCACGATTGAGGTGCCCTTGAGCAAGGCACTGAACCCCCAACTGCTCCCCGGGCGCCGCAGCATAAATGGCTGCCCACTGCTCCGGGTGTGTGTTCACGGTGTGTGTGTGTGTGTGTTCACTGCTGTGTGTGTGCACTAAGGATGGGTTAAATGCAGAGCACTAATTCCTAGTATGGGTAACCATACTTGGCCACATGTCACGTCACGTCACGTTTTGTTTCCACAGGTGGCCAAGGTGACATATATAGAGGAAGGCAGTCCAGTCAAATTCTCCTCAGAGACGTCATTTGTTGTGGATAAGTACGAGATCCTGTAAATGTTTCCTGGTGGAAGATCGTTTTAACCTGCCAGCCAGCTTAACGGATCAGAGAGCACGCTGTATGTCAATAGAAGGCTCAAACCATTCTCTGACATGGGCTGCAGTACTTCTGTGTTTCTGTTTGTCTTAAAGGAAAATAATCTACCTTTTATAAACTGAACCTTCAGATGCTCAAGTACTAAGTGCAGTGAGCTACACCTGCCAGAAAAGACAAAATAAAGTAATAATAAAGCACTGCACCTGTAGACATCAAGGGAAGATCAGTGTCATCCTACAGCAGACGCATTAGAAGCCCATATGAACCCTACTGACACTTCAAAGAGATAGATTAAAATTGAAAACTTAAATAATTATTGCATGGATTTTGTATAAACCACATGATCCGCATTGGCTCATTAGCAATTTGGTTTTATTTCTAATCGTCAAAGAATAAATGCTGGTTTTCTAATATGGAAACAGACCTAATATTGTTGTATCAAATGAATGTGTGGGTGATGAATAAATCAGCTGTGCTTGTGCAATAAGAACTGACTAAATTCAGACTCATAATTTTTCATCTCTAAAATGACACCTCTGCTGTTTAGTAAATATGGATATCATTGTCTACATCAAAAAAGTACAAATGCTATTTGCCTTTGTTTTTCCCCCCTTTTGGTTCGGTTTATATTTATGTAATCATTTGTTTGAAGAATAATCTAAACAGGAAGAGTTTTCATTCTTTGTTGTTTAAAAAAATTTTTTTTATTCATTGCTGCATTTATTTGGCTAAACAGGAAAATATATTCTCTCTGGCTTCCCAGATGTTGTTAAGAACTGATTTTTTTTTTTTTGCATTTCCATAACGTTAAAAAATAAATGTATCAGTGCACACTCAAAGATGATTACGGAACACCAAGGGGAGGGTTAAGACATTCCATTCTGCTGTAAAATACTTATGAATACCTTTAATCAATAATAAAGCCAAATTGAATGAAAGTGTATTTTCTGGGCTCTTCCTGCTTTAATATGTGGTTTTGCCTAGAATTTTGAATTTACTGTAGCTGCATGATACGTGTATTTGTGATGCAGGCTAGAGTTGGGGGGTTGTTTGAAATCCCTAACTCTATGTATTAAAGACAGCAGCATAAATCATGCCATCAAATCATGTAGCTTGTTAAATAGTGGCATGTTTAAGCACCTGGAAATCCCTAGCAACATGTTAAAAACCTCTCAGGTGGTTGATTGTAGTCATTGTTTTGCTGTAAGAATGGTATTATCTGTAATGATAAATTCAATGCCCAGGCCTGGTTTGGGCCATGGCCTAGTGGACAGGGAGATTGTTCTGGATTTTTACAGGAATGTGAGGAATCTCAGAGACGAGGCAATGGTATTTGGAGTTAATAATGCATTAAGTATGGTTGAGTGGAGGAGATTCCTGTCAATGAATCACTTCCACAATGATATGGGCACCTTGTCTCATACAATTACTATGAGTGAGAGCATTTACATCTGCTATGACATGGCTCTTTGGAATACTTGATTATGATTGGTTATGTATAATGATGCTAAATTATATCTTCATAACTGTGCTAGTTTTATGTCTCTCAAAGCACTCTGGTGTATTTCTTTTCATTTGGTAAAATAATTTAAATCCCCCCCCCCCATTTTATTTGTTTTACAGGTAAGTAATTATGTATTAGGATGATGCGCAGTCTGCTAACCATCTTGTCTCAGTTTAAGTTATAATAATCAGGGGTGCTCTCTCTCTCTCTCTATGTGTGTGTGTGTGTGTGTGTGTGTGTGTGAGCTTGTTAAATAGTGGCATGTTTAAGCACCTGGAAATCCCTAGCAACATGTTAAAAACCTCTCAGGTGGTTGATTGTAGTCATTGTTTTGCTGTAAGAATGGTATTATCTGTAATGATAAATTCAATGCCCAGGCCTGGTTTGGGCCATGGCCTAGTGGACAGGGAGATTGTTCTGGATTTTTACAGGAATGTGAGGAATCTCAGAGACGAGGCAATGGTATTTGGAGTTAATAATGCATTAAGTATGGTTGAGTGGAGGAGATTCCTGTCAATGAATCACTTCCACAATGATATGGGCACCTTGTCTCATACAATTACTATGAGTGAGAGCATCTGCTATGACATGGCTCTTTGGAATACTTGATTATGATTGGTTATGTATAATGATGCTAAATTATATCTTCATAACTGTGCTAGTTTTATGTCTCTCAAAGCACTCTGGTGTATTTCTTTTCATTTGGTAAAATAATTTAAATTCCCCCAACAAAAATTATTTGTTTTACAGGTAAGTAATTATGTATTAGGATGATGCGCAGTCTGCTAACCATCTTGTCTCAGTTTAAGTTATAATAATCAGGGGTGCTCTCTCTCTCTCTCTATGTGTGTGTGTGTGTGTGTGTGTGTGTGTGTATATATATATATATATAGATCATGATCATTTTTCTATTTTGATTACCTTTGCCATCATTTAACTCAGTTCATCTTTCAATCTCAAAATTAGTTTTTAAAGCATTACTGTTGTAATTTGTTAATTTATTATTATTGTTAATTTAAACTAATAAAACTCATTAAAAGTATGTAGCTAAAATAAAATACATGTATCGGATGAAAAACTTCAATGAAATTTAGAAATGCTGCCTTGCAACTAACTGAAATGTTACTGAAATTAAAAGTACAAAAAATTACTCAAATTAAAACAAATAAAAATAAAGCTAAATAGAAATAAATAATAAAAATAAAAACTACAAAAGTAGAAAAAAATCAAACAACTGAAAGCTAAAAATAAATGAAATCTAATTCAAAATGTTAATAAAAACTATAATAGTACATAAATAATACTATAATAACATTGGTTTATAAATGCGTTAAAACTTTAGTTTGAAATTAGTTTGTTTTTAGACAAAATCCAGAATTTTAATGTTGCTTATTTATCAGTTATTGGTCAAAACATTACAATGACATATTTTTATATTGGTGAATCCCTAGTGATAATGCCAGGTTAACTGTACTTTATCCCTTTCATAATCATTGTGTCTTTAAATGGTTAAAGCTTGATACAGTTTTTACTTGTTGACTCATAAATTTGTGTTGCTGCATATTTTGCTAAATGTCAAAGTCATAGTCACTGAGCCACATCTACAGAGATGATCTGTACGTGAAACACGGTCTGTCTGGTTGAATCTGCCTCGATGTTTGATGTTGCCTCTAATCCACGAGGAAAGTTTTAGGGCCGGGGCTGAGAAAGCAGATTTAACATCTGATTTGTGGGTTTGATGAAGGGACTGAAGGGTGTAGGCCGCACAAATAGGGACTGTATCTGTCCTGACCTAATTTCCTATCTGATCGCTCGCAATGGAGGAATAATGAGGTGAAGTCTGGAGGGAGTGATGCGTGGCCAGTGATTGTAAAGGAGAGAAAGTAAAGGTTGCTCATAACACATCATGAGAGCGTCAGATGAACCGTAGTTCTCACACTGTCCCAGCCAAATCGTTTGGTGACCATATGGTTCCCTTGAGAGCAGGAGAGGGGGTGTATCCCTGTTTGGGGTTGAGGTAAAAGAGGAGGGGTGTTAATGACCACTATCCCGGTCATAAAAGAGGGCGGGTCTTTCATTCGGATGAATGAACAAACCGATAAGTACTGAGCTAGGCTTTGTTAAAGGGTCACATGAAAGAGTGAGAGGGGGCAGAGGGACTAGCATGGGCTAGGAACTTACATGGTCACATGGGATTTTAGGATCAGTCTGAGATTCATTAAAAACATTTTAATTATTTACAAAGGATTAAGTTTTTGGAGTTAATGATTTGTGAGTTTGCTGGAGGTCAGTGGCATGTATTGCTCTGTATCTCAGTATGAAATAGGCCATTTGTTCAGGTTGGCTAATGAAGAGTACGACATATGCTGAACGTTCGGGATACCAAGATACAGCAGCAAAGCGTCCACCATCTGGATTCTAATATGATACTCAAGAAGGTCCGATTTCAGGTTAGTTCCATTTTATTTCTGAAACCGAGCCACAAACCCTAACGATGATGTCAATAACTGGACATGTGGGGTTTTGTATGATTTCATGCTTTTGGGTTTGTGTATGATGTGATGTGTGAATCGGAATTCATGGTTTCTGTTTTCTGAATTTGGTTTTTTAGATTTCTTAGATTTGTGTCGTCTTTAAATGTGTATCTGGAGTTTCAGACAGAATGGAGTGATTTGCCAGTTCTGATGTATAAAAAAAGAATACACTTATATTTTAATTAATTGCATATTTTAATTTATAGTATAGTATAGTTAGTAATGTTATACTTCACTTTTTTGCATTATCAGAACAGGCAAATCAAACAAGTATTGTTTTTCATAATCACAATTTGTCAAGCTTTAACTTTTATTTAGTCTGAGATTCATTAAAAACATTTTAATTATTTACAAAGGATTAAGTTTTTGGAGTTAATGATTTGTGAGTTTGCTGGAGGTCAGTGGCATGTATTGCTCTGTATCTCAGTATGAAATAGGCCATTTGTTCAGGTTGGCTAATGAAGAGTACGACATATGCTGAACGTTCGGGATACCAAGATACAGCAGCAAAGCGTCCACCATCTGGATTCTAATATGATACTCAAGAAGGTCCGATTTCAGGTTAGTTCCATTTTATTTCTGAAACCGAGCCACAAACCCTAACGATGATGTCAATAACTGGACATGTGGGGTTTTGTATGATTTCATGCTTTTGGGTTTGTGTATGATGTGATGTGTGAATCGGAATTCATGGTTTCTGTTTTCTGAATTTGGTTTTTTAGATTTCTTAGATTTGTGTCGTCTTTAAATGTGTATCTGGAGTTTCAGACAGAATGGAGTGATTTGCCAGTTCTGATGTATAAAAAAAGAATACACTTATATTTAAATTAATTGCATATTTTAATTTATAGTATAGTATAGTTAGTAATGTTATACTTCACTTTTTTGCATTATCAGAACAGGCAAATCAAACAAGTATTGTTTTTCATAATCACAATTTGTCAAGCTTTAACTTTTATTAAAAAAATATTGTTTGTTTTCTATAATTTACTTTTAATGTTATAATTTTAGCTTTTTATCTCAATAATGACTTAGTGTCATAATTATGTCATAATTATGACAGTATCTAATGTCTACTTTTTATGTCATTTTCATAATTTAAACTTTTTGTCATAAGTATAACTAAAATATCTTAGGAACCTTTATTCGTTTAACACTATCTATCTATCTATCTATCTATCTATCTCTCTATCTATCTATCTATCTATCTATCTATCTATCTATCTATCTATCTGTCTATCTGTCTATCTGTCTATCTGTCTGTCTGTCTGTCTGTCTGTCTGTCTGTCTATTCACAATAGTGAAATCAGTGTATGTGTTTTCTGCATGCTGAACATACAACAAATGCCAGAAGTTGGTTTACAGGTTTTCGGGCCTTAAAGTGCTGACAAAATAATCCCATTCTTCCAGAGGCCATCGCAGGGACATTTTCCCGCAGTAAAAGTGAGAGCGAGAGTTAAATTCTTCCGCACCTGTCATAGGACCTCCAGCTGCCTTGCTTTCCCCCGCTATGGTGACAAGCCTTTGAGCTGGACCTTTAACCTGTGAGACACACAGGCGGAAATGAGATGCATTCTGAGTGAACATGAGGAATTTCCTTTGGAAGGAACAGAACAAACAGCAGTCTTACTGGCCTAGGAGTTGAGTGCTTCAGCCACAGGTTTATTTCACACTTACGTGTTATATTAGGAAAAAGGGAAGAGTAAATAGCTGGCCAGCTCAGCTTTATTTTAAAGTTCAGGATAATTATGTTGCTTTCTAGATTACTTGCATTGAGACAACACTATGAATCTGAGATAAGAGTTGCTTACCTGGTCCATCTTGTGAGCTTGTGTTTAATGAGGTATTGATCAGTCACTAGAGGGCACCATTGCCTCATCATACAGGATTGTATATGCTGACACGGATTGTGAAAATGTGTATTTTGAATTGTTCAGTCATCCAGGGGCATCTGTAGCATATTATATCATTAGTCCTGACTTCAGTCTCAAGGGAAAATTGCCCGAACTGAGTCACACAGATACTCCATAAGCACACGAATCTCTTAAAGATACTTTTCTGCAGCTTGTGTTTAATGAGGTATTGATCAGTCACTAGAGGGCACCATTGCCTCATCATACAGGATTGCATATGCTGACACGGATTGTGAAAATGTGTATTTTGAATTGTTCAGTCATCCAGGGGCATCTGTAGCATATTATATCATTAGTCCTGACTTCAGTCTCAAGGGAAAATTGCCCGAACTGAGTCACACAGATACTCCATAAGCACGCGAATCTCTTAAAGATACTTTTCTGTGTTACAGTTGATCTCTTGTTGAATTTTCCTGTTGTTCATATCAAACATAAGCAAATAATCAAGTAATTTTTCAAGTATAAATATATTTTTTAGCTTATTATACTTGGTCTACAATTACAACGAGTTGATCTGAAATACATTTTGTACTGTCATATACTGTCTGATACTCTACGAACTATATCTCCTCAGCAAACGCATCTTCACAAGTGTCTTTTTTATAATCTTACATTTGTGGTTGATGTTTTTGATCAGCTGGAAGATGACTAGTGTGTCTCATTGGAGAGAAGCTCTTGATCATACAAGAGCAGCTTTAAAAAAAAAAAAAAATTTTTAATTTTTTTTGGTGTGGTGCCAGTAAGAGTCAGGACTGGCACAGGACTATACAAACAGTGACAAAAGCCGGACTGACCTCAGGTCTCCAGTGCTCTGGCACCTTCCCAAGAAACACTCAAAGAGAGGAACAGCACTGTGGATGCCAGTGTCTTTTGTGCACCTTCTGCAGAAAAGTGAGTTTCAGCTTTTTCTGAAATGGACTTATTTTGCAGCAGGGGTCTCTGCAAGGTTAGTGAACAAGTGAGGAGTTCTTTGACTGAAAGAATGAATGCCTTGTGTCAGACTAGGAGTGGTTGACAGAACAGGAAGGCAAAAATGAGTGAGAGGGGGAGAGAGAGTCACAGAGTGAGACGACTTTTGTCCTGCGCTGGGCAGGAGAATCTGCTTTTTGTCTGTGATGGTTGGCTTCGAACGTGTGGCAGCAAGAATCTCACAGCATCTTGCTACCATCCTCAAGATCCTCATCATCCTCTATCCATCTTCATAATGTCTTCTCCATGAGGAGCCATGTGTTTGCTTACAGAGGGTCTTGTCTCATAGGCTGCCAGAAAGTTTGTACAGGTAAGGTCTCCTGTATGGCTTATAGGAAAACTTGGCTTTTTTGGAAAAAAAAATGTGAACTTCGATTGTTGTCTGTTATTGTCACACAGTCTACTTTTTTTTTCAAGATACTAAAAATGTTTGAATCTCATGAAACCTGCCAATAATATATCCCAAGTCCAATTTCATCACAATCAAAAAATAAATAAATTATAAATAAAAAAAAATACTAAAAAAACAAAGCTTACATTTTTAAGTTATACATTATAAAAAGATATATCCTATTATAAAAATTTGATTATGGAGAAAAAAAACTAAATATTTAGGCTTTTATTTTCATTATAGCAATTATGCAAATCCTCATCAAATTGTTATTATTGTTATTCATCTGAATGTTTTAATTTTCAACTTTTTTGCCATTTTCATTATTCTTAGTGGAGATTTTAATGTAATCCTCATTTATGCATTTATAATACTTTTTTTTTTTTTTTTTTTTACATGTATTGCAATAAGATATACTGTAATAGTGATTTTTAATTTAAATATAAGTTTCTAAAGACAGTACAACAAATACTACCATGATATATAAATATTCTTGATTTAAATTATATATATTGTATATGTATAATTAGACATATACTATGCATTATAGTAATTAGAATACTACAAAAAGAAAAGAAAAAAGAATTAGAATATTTGGTTTGTTTTGCAATTTTGTGACTGGAATTTCAAGGGAAATTGGTATAATTGTCCTCAAAGTAATGTCATAATCAACATCTTAAAATAGGCTTTGTTTTATGTATACAATATTTAATTACTCATTAGGAGGTGAAATGACCTGGAAATGTTCTTGGCAGGATTTGTGAGATTCTGATCCAAAACTCTGGTCCAGTCAAATCAGCTGTGATTCAAACATAGACTGTTATTTTTAGAAACCATAGCAGTTAAAAAAAATAAACCATTAGACTATCAGTTTTTGTGAAATTATGTTTTGCTTAGCAGATATGGTACGAGATCCTGAAAATTTCTCACTGCTAAATGCAGGCAACAGGAATGAGCTTTGTCCTTGTTTTATCAGAGCTCAGGACACAACATTAAGCAGCATTGTGAGAATCTCAGACTACAGCCTCTGGCCTCGGGAAACAACAGAAATCGTGAGAAAACAAGAAGGTGACAAGGTCTGTGCCTCACCTTTCGTTTACTTAAAGGAGGACAGATAGAAAGAGACCAGAGGCACCACACTCTAAGTGCCACGTTAGTTGTTCTCTCTCCTCCTGATCTCCCACCATAAAATAGTGCAGTTCATTGAGCAAGTACAGAGAAACAAGCAGAGGGGGAGTGTGGGGCCTTTCCATGATCACTTTGGAGAACTTTGGAGGGTCAGTGGTGAGTGAAAAATGCTCCACTGGTTTTGGTTTTGATAATCAAGCCTCTGTTGTCCAGGTCATCTTTGTTTCCAAAAAAATGAGAATGGGCTGAAATCACAGGCCCTGCCAATGACTGTGTGTTTCACTGGGACCTTTCAGAACGCGGTTGGAATTGATTTGTTTGGAAGTAGAATACATTCATTAGCAATGTCTGCTAAGGCAAGCATAACATTTGCTGTTGCTCATTCTTACAGTTAGGGGTTTGCTTTCAACTACTAACTTTAAGGGATAGTCCACCCCAAAAAGAAGAGTATTCTGTCATCATTTATTCACCCTTGTGTTGTTCCAAACCTCTATGAGTTTCTTTCTTCTGATGAACATGAAAGAAGATATTTTGAAGAATGTTGGTAAACAAAAAGTTCACTGTAGCCATTGACTTCCATAGTAAATTTTTTCCCATACTATGAAAATCAATGGCTACCGGCAACTGTTTAGTTACCAACATTCTTCAAAATATCTCCTTTTTAGTGGAATCAAAAAACAGCAAGGTCTTGAGATACTTGAGCGCCGTATTTTTAGAAAGCTGTGAAACACTGCAAAAAAAAAACCGCAAGATGTCAAACCGCAACGGTCAAACATATTCATATAGTGCATGTTTACATAGAAAAACAATGGAAACGCAAAAACTGTTTGTGCTAATGACTTGAATATTAGGTTACCTCAAACTGTGTATCTTTCAAAAAGCTCTCAAAACAACCTAGCAACTGCATAGCAACATGCTAGAAACTCTTCAAAACACCCTAGCAACCACATAGCAATGTGCTAAAAAGTCAAAACACCCTAGGAGCCACATACTTATAGCAACATGATAAAAAAGCTTTCTGAACACTCTAGCAAATCCATAATAATGTGCTAAAACCTTTCAGAACATCTTAGCAACTGTACGTGATCTCCAAATCTTGCAGAACTTCCTAGCAACTACAGTACTTAGCAACAACTTCCTGGCATCATGGCAGTACATTT